TTTGGCACATATGTCCACCAGCTTCCCAGATGTCTCACACTCTCCCGTCTCTGCTCTCCAACCTCACTATAAAAAGGGAGAAATTCTACTTGATTTTAATTAAATTAATATATCAAACATTATGCACTAAACCAAAATAAACACACAAAAAAGATTAAATCAGTTGTTACATGTTGTTTCAGTTCAGGTTTGTGTGCATTCGTTTTTGCACAGCTCTCTTAAGGTCATGTTTTACTGTTTCATTTTGATTCTAGAATATTTTGGTAAACACAGGAGTTCACAGTTGCCCTAATGACTGCAAGGTGCCCAGGTCCGTCTTCATGTTGGTCTCATCTCATCAAAAGACACTGTTCCAGAAGTCTTGTGGTTTATATAGATGTAACTGAACTAACCTGAACTGCAATTGCAAACTGTCCAAGCAAGCCATACTTTTTCAGCATTTTTCCAACAATTCTGTCATGAACTTTGACTTTAAAATGTTAAGTGAAGCCCGCAGAGTCTGAGATGGGGCCCTTTGGTTTTTTGTTTCTCCGAGAATCACACGGTCTGGAATTGGGGTGAATTTGTGGAGACGTCCAGTCCTGGAATGATTGTGCCACTGTGTTAAGACACATCTGGATGCTCCAGATCAAAAAACTTTTTTTTGTTATAGAAATGGTCACACTTGGTGATGAATGAAATTTTGATCAGTTTTCTCATAACTGTTGCCAGGATGTACTTTGTCACGATCCTGGGTCATTTGACCCAGCATTTTGAGTTTTAGCTTATTTTGATGTTTATGGTTTATGGTTTAAGATTCCCCTTGTGTCTCCTACCCCTGTGTTTAAATCTCCCTCTGCCTTTGTGTGTCATGTCTGCGTGGCTTATGTTGTCAAGTTCGTGTTTCATGTCTGCCTCTCATTATGTTTCCTGTTTTATTTTGAAGAGATCTTGTGTTCCTATGTTCAATGTGTTTAGTTTTACGCTTCCATTGTACCATCATTATGTTCATTTGTGTCAGCTGTTTCCCCATGTGTTTCCACTTCCCCTGATCACCTCCTGTGTGCATTTAGTCTGTGTGTTTTCATTCAGTTGTGGTCAGGTTGTCTGCTGTGCCCATGTGCCAGGTTTTTTCATGGTTTAATCTTAGTTCACCCAGTTTAGGTTATTGTTTAGTTTCAGCTTTGCCTTTTGTTCTGTACTATTTTGCCAGCCTTAACAAACAGCTGGTTTTTGTCACTCTCAAGTTTTATTTTGTCTCTTCGCATGACAAAACTCTTGGTTCCACCTCCTCACCCCACACAGTCTGCTTCGCAGCCAGACTGTGACAGAATTCCCTGTACAAGCCTACCACTTAACATACACACGTCGATATAGTCTTTTATATGCTTGAGTGGAATAAAGAAAGGAGAAGAGCATAGTCAGTTACATGTGTTTCTGTATCACGCTCATTTGTACAATGTCTGATATTTTGGATTTCTTTGAGGGCTTTTTTCCAGGCTATGAATGGGGTGACACAACTTGATCAGTCCAGATACAGTAAAGAAAATTAGTCTTTTATTATTTTAATCATTTTATATTTGTAACAAGACAATAAAATTACTAAATCATTAGTGAAGATCAACGACATAAGAACAACATGAAAAACTTTGTCATTACAAGATTTCTGACTTTTGTCTCTGAACCGGAAAATTTCAGTTTTTCTTCCTCCTTTAATGCTTTCAAAATGTGCTCACAGGGTATTTATGAAAGCAACCCCAGCTTGGCGAGATATTTATGCAATCTTTTGGGGCCTAATGGAGATCCAGCTCTTGGCACAGGAAAAAAAAAAAGACAAGGACACTGAGGACAGAGAAGGGAGGGAGGCAGGAAACAGTCCACACTTCCTCGGGCAGGATACTGTGCTCCTCTAAGAGGCATCCTGGAATCTAATGCCTCAAAGACCTCGGCAAGTCTTTCATACAAACACTTACTTTTCCTGCTCTGCATCAAGAACTGAAGCTGCAAGGTCAGTTAAACGTCTTCAGTCATGCCCTTAAAATCATGTGTTATGAAACTGTGCAGTTTATGGGAAAAAACTGCTTTGGGTGAGAACTCCTACCACCTAAAGCATGAATGTAATACTTTATACCAGTGGTTCCCAAACTTTCTTTGCTGCCCCCCCTTTGTTTTAGAAGAAAAATGTTCTGGTATGTGCCTTTTTTCACGTCATGCTGTGCGCCACATTATTGTTTACATGAGATGAATTGCAGAATGGCAGATAGAGTCAAAATACTGTTAATCTTACTATCTTCAGGTTTTACCCGCTTACATACACACACGCAGTTACTGTCCCTCCATTTAGAAAGGCAGAGGCATCACGATGTGATTATTTTACGTGTAGTTGTGTTTTTTTCCTCTGTAATAATATTCAACATTACTACCAATACATTTTTCAAAAAATGTCTCTGTGCAAAATGGGTTCAAAAACATAAACAACTGTGGGATACTGTTAGTCCGTGATTTGGAGAGGGGGAACAAATTGTGGCAGGATCAGCCTGATATTATTTGTATCCTGCTGTAACTTTACTGTATAAAGACTTAACATCCCCAAAATGTCGGGAGTAGTTAGTCATTACAAGAAGTGTTTGTGAACTAAAAATCAAGAATGTGGGATACTGTTTGTCCCTGATTTGGAAAGTCCAGCGCGTGCTCCCAATGCAGGGGAAACTAATGCTGTCGCAGAGACCTACATTGGCACTTGCGCAGGTGAAGCCAAAGGGAAGATATGCTTCACCAGATTTTCTTGTCTTTGGCTTGGAAGGAAGCTGTTTTGGAAACATATTTGGCGATGCTTCATCTCCTGCTATGCCTTTGTGTGGAAGCCCCGTCAAAAACCTGTTCATTATGTTAGCAGTGTCCAAGTGTTCTTTTTTTTTCTTCTTTTCATACCAGGACCCCCCTGCAATGGCTCTGCGCCCCCTCACTTTGGGAACCTCTGCTGAATACACATTCGATTTTATGCAATACTTCTTATCCACTAAATGTTTCACAGAACTAGTTAAAAAGTGCTTCATGGTTTCTCAAATGGCAACAGGTTTACAAAACTAACTTAGTTTGGCAATAGGACATTCAAACTACTCCCTAACTGATATTCATATACAAATAAGATAAAATATACTGATATTCATCAGGAGGGGCTGCATGTGTTTTGTCAAATTAATTTTGGATTGTTTATAAATCGTGCAATAAAGATCTTTGAAACTGTTTTTTTTTTGTTTGTTTGTTTTTTAGAATTCCAATGTATTTGTTTCCCTGGTACAATATAGTATACAAAACAGCAAAACCAATCTATACTTATTTTGGCCAGATTTGTAGGTTTAATCTATTTTATACAAATTCAGTTCCAAGTTGTTGTGTGCTGTGTAAAATGTAAGTAAAAGAACATAATGCACACGTCTTCAATGCATATATTATTCGCTATAGAACACGGAAAAGGAGATCAAGTGTTTAAACTGGAGAAAATGTACCATTTTAAGAAAATTTTAGCTCATTTGGAATTTCAGAGTAGCAACATGTCTCAAAAACTTGGGACAGGATCATTTTTAGTGCTGTGTAATGCTTGTTCTCTTAACAACAGTCTGTCTGGGAACTGAGGAGGCATGTTGCTATATATACCTTGATACAGGATTCTAGCTGCTCAACATCTAAGATTTTTTTGTTTGATGATATTTCAAATGTTCTCGGTTGGTGAAAAATCAGAATTGCAGTCAGGCCAATTCAACACCCAGAATTTTTTACAACAAACCTATGTTGCTGTAATAGATGCAGTAAGCTCTTTAGTATTGTTTTGCTGAAATATGCAACAAAAACAACATTCAGGTGGGAGCATTTGTTTTTCTAAAACCTGTATATACCTTTCAGCTTTGATGCCCTTTTGGATGTGCAAGCTGCCAGTTCCAGGCATTGGTGCACCACCATATTATCTGAGATGCAGGCTTTTCAACTGAGCTCTAATAACAAGCCAGATTGTCCATCTCCTCTTTTGTCTGGAGGACGTGGTGTTATTTGTTTGGCTAAAACAATTGAAAATGTCAATTTTTCTGTGGGCCTGAAAATCATAGGCATCGAATATTGATTTTTGGCCTTGTCTCTTATGCAAACATATTTCTTCAAATTCTGGGAATTGTTTGATATTATGTACTGTAGGTGATGAGATATTCACAGTCTTCACAATTTTATATTGAAAAAGATTATTCTCAAAATATTCCACAATTTTCAGATTCAGCTTTTTGCAGAAAGGCAAACCACTGCCCATCTGTTCTGAGGTGCTCTTTTTATACTCAGTCATGTTACTGAGATATTGCAAGTTACCAAAATCAGTTGCAAACATGTTGCAACATTTTTCTTGAAATTGTAAATTTTCTCAGTTCAAACATTTGATCTTTTCTGTGTTCTATTGTAAATAAAATATGGGTTTGTAAGATTTGAAAATCATTGTTTTCTGTTTTTATTCACATTTTTACAGGGTTGGGTTTTCTTTTCTTTTTTTCTAATTGAGTTTGTTCTTTATTTTTATATAGACAACTTCTGTATTAGCGTTGATGTTTATTTATCAGTCAGTCAATCAAAAAAATAAAATGATGAAATCTTTGCCCCAAATACCTGCTTAGCACATTACTAAACATTTCCTGTTTAAAATAAAACTTCCCCTTACACAAACATAAACATTTTTGGACTCCGTTTACATGGCTAGACCTCTATTTTCGGGTGGTGTATGGGGAAAGATTCAAATGCTGCCCTCTGCTGTGCGAACGTTAAATGGGTCGTAATGCTCACTTCAAAGCCGTGCGTGCCGAATAAAATAAATGCAAAAATACTTTGCAATTAAATAAATATATAGATGTTTAAATAATTAAATTGATTAATTAAATCAATACATACATTTACTGTGCTATAAAGAAATAACCGGTTGCTATTCCGGAACGATAGGTTTTACCGGCGGCTTCTTTTCCGTGTTGCACAAAACAATAACTGCGGACCCGCACAGCTTCAAAACGATGTGGAGCTCAGTAGGGTTGAGTGTGATTAACGTTGTGTGGTCTTCTCTGGCTTTGTGCTTCCTCGTTGCTTTTTGTGCTCACAAAGTGTCGCGACTGTTGCCGGGAATATTTGACACGTGTCCCGCTTACGTTTTATTTCAGGACCTTATTCGTTACGGAAAAACTAAACAGAGCTTAAAGCGAGACGAATGGCTGCGGGTTTTTGACGTCCCAAAAAGGTGACAGTGAATGACAGAACTTTACTGTAATGTATTTTATATCCTACTATATCTAACCGAACATTTAGGTGGTTTTGAATCATTATTTACTTTTTAAATATTTAAACGTGGCATGCTTTTCGCCTTCCAGGTGGTTCTGGCACTTCTATGCAGTCTCTGTTGGCTGGAATGGTCTTCTTCTGGTCTTGTACCTCAGCTTTATATTTCAGCATCAGTCATACCCTTTGTGGTTGAGCGACTTTTTAGACATTTTGACTGGCGCACACAGCAGTGACAGTCAAGGTAAGCTAAAGAAAAAAATGGTTGTTTTTCTGTTTAATTCATTTTTGTGTCTGATGTTAGTGTTGGCTGTAGTCCCACAGCTTTCCACCGTCCTGGTGCAGCTGCTGCTGTGGGTCCACTCCCTCAGGAGGCTGCTGGAGTGCCTGTTTGTCAGCGTTTTCTCTGATGGGGCGATGCACTTGGTACAATATATGTTCGGCCTGGGGTATTACATCATGTTAGGGTTGACGATCCTCTGCTGTGATCGTATGGAAAAAGGTTTGAGTTGGTGCTTTCTGTGTGCTTCTATGTGCACAATTCCCTGGTTCATCTGCTTTGTGGTACTGATGCTTCCACCATTTCTTTTAGAGAGAAGCTCCCTCCTCTCTCAGCTGGACTGGCTGCTTGTTGCTGGGTTTTTACTCTTCATTTGGGCCTCGTGGCTGCAGCATCAGTCTATGGTCCTGCTGGCCAGACTTCGCACTGGAAAGTCAGGTAAACCTAGGAAACTCTCTGTCTTTCTGTTTTGTTTTTTTTATTTCTTTGTTTCTTTCTTTGTTTTTTCTTTGCTGCCTCCAGCATTATTGCTATCACTGAGAATTTGCATATCACCTCCTACATCGTTCCCTCGCTCACCTGGAGACCGCTGGAAGCACTGTGAGAATCATGTTCTTTGATTTCTCCAGTGCCTTCAACACTATTCTTCCCTCGGTTCTGAAGGACAAGCTGGAGAACTCTGGAGTGGACCATCACCTCACTACCTGGATTTTGGACTACCTCACCGACCGACCACAGTATGTGAGGACTCAGGGCTGTGTGTCGGACAGGGTCGTCTGCAGTACGGGGGCCCCACAGGGAACGGTTCTGGCTCCGTTCCTCTTCACCATCTACACTGCAGACTTCTCCCACAATTCCACCCAGTGCTTCCTGCAGAAGTTCTCTGATGACTCTGCAATAGTCGGCCTCATCACTGATGGGGACGACAAGGAGTACAGAGGACTGACTCAAGACTTTGTGGACTGGTGCCAGCTGAACTACCTCCAGATCAACGCCAGTAAAACCAAGGAGCTGGTGGTAGACTTCCGCAGGCACAAGCATTCTCCACTGCAACCACTGAACATCCAGGGTATGGACATTGAGGCTGTGGACAGCTACAGGTACCTTGGTGTTCATCTGAACAACAGACTGGACTGGACTCATAACTCAGACGCCCTCTACAGGAAAGGGCAGAGCAGGCTGTACCTGCTGCGGAGACTCAGGTCGTTTGGGGTGGAGGGCCCACTCCTGAAGACCTTCTATGACTCTGTGGTGGCTTCTGCTATCTTTTATGGTGTGGTCTGCTGGGGCGGCAGCATCTCTGCTGGGGACAGGAAGAGACTGAACAGGGTGATCCGAAGGGCCAGCTCTGTTCTAGGATGCCCTCTGGACCCAGTGGAGGTGGTGAGTGACAGGAGAATGGCGGCTAAGCTGTCATCCCTGTTGGACAACGTCTCCCACCCCATGCAGCAGACTGTGACAGCACTGAGCAGCTCCTTCAGTGGGAGACTGCGGCACCCACGGTGTGGGACGGAGAGATTTCGCAGGTCTTTCCTCCCCACTGCTGTCAGACTCCACAACAAAGACTTTAACTGAACAAACACACACATCCACACATGTGCAATAACACTAAGTGCAATAATCTTTTCTGGCATCGTTGTATTTTTACTCAGTTGTATATAGCATTCGTATTCTATTTTTATCTTATTGTATATTTTTATTCTATTTTATTCTACTGTATATAGTATATTATTTTATTCTATTCTGTACAGCTGTGTACTGTATTTATTCTTATTGTATTCTAATTTTTGCGTCATAACTTTTGCACTGTCCACTTCCTGCTGTGACAAAACAAATTTCCCACGTGTGGGACTAATAAAGGTTATCTTATCTTATCTTATCTTATCTTATTAATGATCAAGGAACTAACAGCTTGAAGTTAACTTCCTCTGCTGTCTGTTTTTCTGTTTATGTGTTAACCATAAAGCACATGGGTCATCCCATCTCCAAATTGCCTTTAGCTCAACCAGCTTATATTTTCCTAAAGAACGTATGGTCCAAAGTTAGGATACATGTAATGATTTTTGTTAAATTTTAGATTTATGTATCAAATACTTTTCAACACATATATTTTTGAAAAATGGCCAATTGACCCACTTTCAGCATTTTTTATTTGATTTTTTTATCTTTGCTCTTTGAAAACCGAGGCCATGTTTAAGCATGAATATTTAAAAAAACATTAGCTAAAGGAGGCTAAAAAACTGCAGAGAGCTGAGTGGAACTGCAGAGCTGCGAGATAATTCTCTGTGGGTTTGGCGCCGTGAGTGAGACATTTCACAACAGACAGTAATTTGATCAGTTGTTAATTAGCACAGCTTTAACCTGATACACACTGGAAATGGTAAGGGCAGGGATAGCTCAGTAGGTAAAGTGGTCGCCCCATGATCGGAAGGTCGGCGGTTCGAATCCACTTAACGGCTACCCTGAGGTACCCCTGAGCAAGGTACCGTCCCTACACACTGCTCCCCGGGCGCCTGCTTAGTGGGCTGCCCACTGCTTCACTGAGTGAATGGGTCAAATGCAGAGAAAAACAAGTAATTTCCCCATGGGGATCAATAAAGTATCCATTATTATTATTATTATTATTATTAAACCAGTCTATGTAAACGTTGAAAGTTGCTGATGTCACTTTTTCTTGTTTTTTTGTCATGTCATGCAGGAACAGTGGAAACGCTGACTCACAGAGTGCCAAAGGGAGGTTGGTTTGAGCTGGTTTCTTGTCCCCATTACTTTGCTGAGCTGCTGATCTACATCTCGTTGAGCTTTGTTTTCAGAGGCCTCTCTTTCACCTGGTGGCTTGTGGTACTGTATGTGCTCTTCAACCAAGCACTGGCAGGACAGCTTTGTCATGACCTTTACATTAGCAAATACAAGTCATACCCAAGGCATAGAAGAGCATTTATACCCTTTGTGCTATGAATACTCAGACACTGTATTGGTCTTTTTGTGGTGATAAATGGGAACTGTAAAGAAAACTGCCAGAGATGTAGGAGGAGCAGAAACCTTAGGAGCAAAAGCCATCTTTTTCTAAACGTTCTTTCAAACCTCCAAATTTAACTAATCGGCTTGACAGCTAAGAGGCCAACACTGTGTTTGATTTCTGGCAGAAGACTCTAGAGGTGAGAACTTTCTCCGACTGATGTGAAGACACTGTGAGGAACATTGCTGGAATTCATTTGTTCATTACATTAAGAACTTGTTTTTCTTACGATTAAGTACTTAAAAATCTTTTTCTTCCTTTTACAGTATGCCAACCTCTCGAGTTATAACTGGTATTGTAATCTCTAAATGTTTATGTGAAAAAGAAACCTGCAAAACACTGTGGTGTTGAATATTTTTCTTTTATAGCAAAACAGAATGTATTGTATTAATACCGGAACGACAAGGAGTTTTACTTTAAAACGAAAAGTAACATGACATGGACATGTTGTAATGAATAAAGAAACTTTATTCAACAAAAAGTATTATTGTTGTTTAAAGAGGCACAAACATGGGGACGTTACTTTCAGGAGGGAAATCAAGTCATAAACCAATCAGGGGTGTGGTGGTTCAATCCCCAGGTACACTAGTTTGCATGATGTATTCATTATCCTTTAGATACTGAACCACAAATTGCCCCTGATTCATTCACAAGAACTCCACTTACTACGTTCACACTGCAGGTCTTAATGCTCAATTCCGATTTTTTTGATCAAATCCGATTGTTTTGTCTGCTTGTTCACACTACAAATAAAATGTGACAGCAAACGCGCTCTAGTGTGAACCCTCAAAGCGGCCCGCATGCACAAAAGAAGACGTCACACACAACGCGCTCTGTTTAGACCCAGATCAAACAGTATTGTTTGACTGATGGCCCTTAATATAAAGACTTGTTTCGGACTTTACGTTTCCCAATTTTGCTTTAAGTTGTAACGTTATTGTGTTATTTACAACTGGCCTAATAATGATCCTTATTTCTGTTTTTAGAGAGGAGCGGTTCTTCAAATGATAGTTGGAAATTTCTGTCAGAATCTGCAGATTATACAGTACAAATAAAATGTTTACGTTTCTCCAGCGCCGTCTTCCCAACAGGTTCACTAACATCTACACTGGATGGCCCGAAAGCGTTCGCGATGTCTTCTTGGGCGCTAATAATTGGCGTCTGTCTTGTGTCAGTGTCGTAAAAGACGGATTTAATGCGACATGACCGTTCAAACAGCAGTCGCTTTCTAAAACATCAGATATGTATCGGATTCAGTACCGCATACAAAACAAATATTAAACAAATATCCCTATTTTCTACTACTTACACAGCGGAGAGTTATTATTTTAACCTTCAAACATTCATACTCGTGTCTTAATCACCAGGTAAAAAGAGAAGAAAGAGGCAAAACCTTACGCCAAAGTCAGGGGATGAAATTGCATTACTTATTGCTTGCACTACTAAAGAGTAGCGAGGAGCATGAAGGGAGTAATATTGTGGCAGTTAATTTCAAATGCAGCATTTCTGTCAGCTTAACAAACATCAGCAAACTCACAAACTGTTTGTGTGCTGCTGTATTTCACGGGGAGAGAAAAGTAAGAGAGCAAACTTCACTCAGAGATGGAGAAACATAAGAACACGAGAGGACAAAGAAAGGTTATATGTAAAGGCAAGGACTGCTTAGTGGGATATTTATGAACTGGAAATGTAAGTTCTTATGTTTCTACATCAGATATTGGGCACTGTACATTTGACATTGTGTTTTTCATATTGTGAAACCTGCTGGAAAAGAAGCTGAGGTAGAATAACTTATCTAATGGTTGTATGAAAATAAGCTGCAGGTTAATGTTGTATAAACAGGCTAGTTTGCTGTGCTGTGATGGATCCTTCCAGTTCTCCCACCTGCCAAATTCAATTTTAACCTCTTCCTACTCATTTTCCTTTTTTGAGGCAAAGTCCCTCTCTACAATGTAGGCAACAGAACATAGAAGAACATAAAAAATATATCTTTTTCTCTGCTCTTGTTCTACTTAACTGATTAAAGCTGAGTAACTTTATTAGAATTACAATTTGGACTGAAATAAAGTTTGTATTTGTATGTACTAATATTATTTTAATATCACAATAATATAACAAGGTTAAGTTGTATTTACTTTAACTTGAATAAAGACTTTTAATAAGTACTTCTATTTAAGTAAAGAATATCTGTGCTTTTGCCACCTCTGGTCACGTTCTTTATTTCCTTTTTATCCCTATAAAAGGCTGATGGAGTACTGTCCTCATTCCACTGGGCAGGCGGGCGTGCTGGACACCAAAGTTTGTGAATGTTAAGGCGACATAGGACTTTCAAATTGATAACATAGCATCATCTACTAAAAACTCAGATGAGTTGGAATCTCAGCGACCTCAAAGTCGCTTTAATTTTATTTAATGTTTATTCTGCTTATCCCAAATTTATTATTTGCCAAGCAAATTTTCTGCTCAAAGTAAATAATATTATTACTAATAATAATATATTTTTAAAGTAAATGGGCTGATATTTAGAGGGGCAAACACTCATTATTGTTAGGATTAGAATAGTAATGTTACATAAAAATATATAAAGAGAAAATTTGTAACTAATAAACAGAAGGTCCTTTTTCAAGTTTTTTTTTTCAATGCAAAACTATTGAAAGAAAACAATGAAACTATATTTAAATAGCATTATGATCGACAATGAGATTGTCCATTCACTGAGCACTTCGCTGTGTGCGTCAGCTTACAAACCACGTCATTCATTTGAACGTCCAATCATCTGTCTGCGTTGCTCCTCTTTGCGGCAGCACGGTTCTACTTCCCCCATGAGTTGAGTTGGCCCGGTCGGTCTCTCTGATCGTGACGTGTGTTACCTCAAATTGTATAGGTTACTAAATATGGAGTTATACGGTTTTGTTGCAGATAACATGCAGTGATACGAGGGAGAGAAATTAGCGCGCAAATCGAGTCGTGTCGGTGTTTCGGAAGAAGTAATAATGCCTCGCGCGGCTGGCAGAAGAGATGGTGGGGCTAGCAGAAATGTGATGTGTGTCTTGTTTCCGCTCACCGCCGTGTTTTTGTTTTTGTCGGTCGGTGTTACTGCTATTCAAGAGGAGCAAAAAGCTGTCCCGGAACAGCCCCCACAAGAGGTGAAAGGTTTTGCTTCATTGTCACTAATTAAGTGTTTTATCGTGATGTATAGGAAGCGGTCTTTGACGCGCTTCTTCCTCGCGCCCCGGGCTAGCCGAGCTCGTGCTAACTGATACGTCTTGCAGAGTTCCGGGTGTAACGTTAGCAGAAGTGGACAAAGTTACACTTGAATTTTTTAATCGTGAAGAAATTGCTTTAAAGTTAAGGTGACAGTCATTTGGGTGTCACGACGAGAAGGTCGTCATGTCCCCGCCAGTTTTGTTTACCTATTTAAACATTGTGGCCGAAGTGTTACAGCCAACAAGGGCAAACTTGAATACCTCATACTGATTTTTATTACAAACTGTGTGTAACTCGGCTGACAGTCACTGTGTGCATTTCCTTTGCAGAAAGTCTCCAGTCCCCAGCCACCGGGCCCAGTGGTTTCTGAAGATGTCTCCACCAAAGGGAACCTGGGCTTCATTCATGCCTTTGCTGCCTCTTTATCTGTCATCATTGTCTCTGAGTTGGGAGACAAGACCTTTTTCATCGCTGCTATCATGGCCATGCGCTACAACCGCCTCACCGTGCTGGCCGGGGCTATGCTGGCCTTAGGATTCATGACTTGTCTTTCTGGTTTGTAAAACTTTGGATTTGGCCTTGACTGTTTTTTTTTGTTTTGTTTTGTTTTGTTTTGTTTTTTTGGCATTACCCTTCGATCAGATCCTGAGAAATAACAAATACGTGTTGTTGTTGTTTTTTCTTTCCCACATCATAGTACTGTTTGGCTATGCCACTACCATCATCCCAAGAATCTACACATACTATGTATCCACTGCTCTGTTTGCCATCTTCGGTATTCGCATGCTTAGAGAGGGGCTAAAAATGAGTCCAGATGAAGGTCAGGAGGAGCTGGAGGAGGTGCAGGCAGAGATCAAGAAGAAGGACGAAGAGGCAAGTTAACTTGATTATAAACTATCTAGAAAAACAACATTTTTTAATGTCCAGTAGTACAACTCCAGTCCACATACATAATTTACATATTCAGTAATAGAAACGCCTCCTGAGTGGGTCCAGTTACTAACTGCTGACACCATTTTGCTTAGTAATTAGCGATTCGCAAATGGCTCATATTACTTAATCACCCAGAAGACCTAGTTACATTTTGCTGCTGCTGATGTGAGTTTTTGTTGTGTGGAAATTCTGATCTTATCATCAGGCTATATGAGCACATGGACACTTTAAAGTTGCCTGAGGCTGTCTTATTGAATGGCACCATTATGAGCTGTAATCGAAGTGCTGTACTGTAGACTAAATAAAAAAAAAATTAAAAAAACAGATGGCTGATTGAACCTCTTAGCAATAGTGACAGTTTGTCATACAAAGTCAAGCTTAATTATATTCCCGTGCAGATCTGCATTCTAAGGTGTACTTGTAGAGGACATAAATCTACATCCTCTTGATCAAAACAAATCCGTTATAAGGAATATAGTTGGACCATCCACAGAGGACCTCATGACAAAATTTTGATCAAAGTATAGCACCCTTGTAAGTGAACCCTGCCTCTTGCAGGTACTGAGCCATGAAAGTACTCTATTGGGTTGTCTTTCAAACCTCATGCCTTGTTGTCTGTGCAGCTCCAGCGGACTAAGCTCGCTAATGGGACTGCAGATGTGGAGGCTGGAACAGGGACTGCTGTTCCTCAGGGAAAGTGGCACAGCTTCATCTCACCCATCTTCATCCAATCCCTCACTCTCACTTTCCTCGCAGAGTGGGGGGACCGATCGCAGCTAACTACAATTATTCTAGCTGCCCGGGAGGTTTGTGACTTTCACTGTTAGACAGCTGCTGTTTAATGCTTTGTAATATATTTTACAATAAATAGAGGCCATACATTTTCACTTTGATTGGCTGTTTGTTTCTTTTAGTTGCTGCTGTATTAATACACTGGTAATATTTAAGAAAAGAGTAAAAAAATAAATAAAAATATGGTATATAAACTGTTTTTGTTTTTTATTCTTAGGATCCATTTGGAGTCGCAGTGGGCGGCACCATTGGACACTGTCTGTGCACAGGTCTGGCTGTGATAGGAGGGAGAATGATTGCCCAGAAGATATCGGTTAGAACAGGTAAGATGGCCTAAATTGTGTAATAAAATAAAATAAAAAATTATTTATTTATTTTTTTTAATTTAAAAAAAAAAAAAAAAGACGGGTAGGAGAAGTGGGTTCCTATTCTCCTGGGAGAATTCCTCTGGAGGCAGCTCTGTTTACACACAATAATTATCAAAATATTTGTAGACAATCCTGTTAAGGTTTGATGGATTAGGTGGATCAGATTTAAAAACAAACAGAGAGAGAAAACAGCGATCTACTGTTAAACTAATTGTCATTTTGCCCAAAAATGGTACACACACAATTTACAGCCCACGTTTTACAATGATTGAAATGCATTTTTATTTTTAAAAAATCAAGTAGGTATTTGTAGAGTGCAGTCTAAAAATAAAAAGTAAACTAAAAACTTTCAAAGTAGAGCTGTAATGACTCATTGAATAATTCAAATAACCAGACGATTTAAAGAAAATCTTCGACACAAATTTTCTCCTTTGTTTAACACACGGCTGTGTGGCGCTCAGTCATCTCCATGTAAACATGAGCGTTTCACCACTAACACTTTCATTAGAAACGTATCTAGGAGCAGGCATGTGAATAAAATATGTCAGTATTAGGCCCATGTTTTTCAACAAGAGTATAATAACACAACAGCAGCAGTGATGATGATGATGTTTAACATGGAGTCTGTCTACACGCACGGTGAAGAGCAAAGAGGGGGAGTCGTTACTGAGATGGTGACCTCAGTTAGAGTGAAAGAAAACGTTTTTCTAGTGTCCAAAACAGCAGCGCTGTTCTTGTGGTCACCATTAAAACCTTTACTGGGAAAAAGCTAATGGGAGTCTTCATCAAACCATCCAATCAATGAACTCCAAGCTTTTGTTTTATACAGTGAAAATCTATAGTAAAGCTACAGAAGTTGCATTAAAATATCCAAATGAGCTGTTAACTTGGCCTGATACCATGTTTAAAATTAGGCAGCCGGCTGAAGCCTGACGAAAACCGTCCCATTTTGTATCATAATGATTCCTGAAACAAGCAGGAGGGAGTCTAAAGGAGGGCATGGGGTGTTTAGACAATATTTCAAGGCTTTCACAAATTTGTCTTTCAGATTTAAAGTGAAATTAAATATGAATACACATGTTAATATTTTAAAATATATATATATATATATATATATAAAGTTTGCTGACCTGTGGCTGTTAAGTCAGACACTGACTTATTATTAACATGTCATTATTAACATCTGCACCATCATAACGTCTTGTTTTCAGCAGCACGAAAATTTTTCATAATAGCATAGGACAAACTTCAGCCAACGCATGGTCCTTTAAAGGCTTACAGATACAACCCCATTCATTCACTAACACACTCAAACATGCAGACACACAGATGCAGACAAACACATACACATGAAACCTACCTCATCCAGAAGATAAAATATTACTAATTAAAGGGTTTAGGTGTTTTTTGACAGATGCCGTTATATAAAATGGAAACCCACGAGCAGTATATTTTGAAAGAACTGTTGCGGGGGGGTTTCCCCCTCTTTTGAATATTTATTATTGCTCATTAATAAGTTCTTATCTGATTGCTCAGTTAATCGATGGACTAATCAATAGAATACTTAATTACTAAATGAATCCTTATTTGCAGACCTATTTCAAAGTCACTTTTAGTTTGGATTCTGCACCATTGACACTCCTATTTCTAAGACTTCAGTCTGCTGCCTCCACCTAATATGATTCATTTAAAATTTTCTTGACATGGTCTGTGACGATATTGGACCATTTGCCCTCCCCTAACTTCCCTCGCAGGAATGCTGAGACTCCTGGGAGTCCTTCCTAGTGATGCAATGCTGTAATCATTTGGTTTTACCATCATGAAAATTACTGGTAAATTCACATTTGCTACAAAAACCTCAAGATGACCCATGATGGGGCTTCACAGAAAGATTCAGTAGTTTGTTCATATAGCTATATCAGATTTAAAAGATCAAAAAAATAAAGAAACCAGTTTAGCGTCAAATAAATCTGCCTTGTTTAAACTGAAAATCTTTGCTTAACTGACATTTGTTTTCTTGTTTTGTTTCTGTAGTTACAATCATTGGAGGAATTGTTTTTCTGGCATTTGCCTTGTCTGCCCTGTTCATCACACCAGAAACTGGACCTTAAATTGGAGAAAAGACTTTCAGGTTCACTCTGTAAATACTCGTAACATTTGATCAAGTTGCTGTAGATGCATTTTAGTTTCGACCCTCTTAGTCTAAAGGACTCAACAAAGAGTTGGAGTCCTGTCTTCCTTTCCTTGAACGTCTCTGTTCCTTTGTGATCTGTGAATCAGTTGGATTTCTCAGAGGTTAATTAACAACCTGTAGGTGGCATCCAAACCTCATGGGAAATGTGTTTGTTGACTGCTTACAAGGTGTGTTTCATCTTCATCTCGTCTAGTGAAGGAAAGACTGAATCACAGAGGCCTGATTAACAGGTGCGAGCTTAGAAAGGAGGGAGGACTTTGTCACACTCTTTAAAACTTGTATTCTTTTCACACGGTGTGTGAGAGAAAACTAGATTGTTGCAGATTGCTGCCCTATAACGTTCTACAGGTGGCTCAGAAACTGAAGCCAACTTTCCTCATAGTAATATCTCAGCAAAGGAACTTAGTCCATTTAAAAAATCTTTTCCGTTTTTAATGTCTATTTTAAATGTTAAGAATGAGCCCCTTTGCTGTCAGGTGACTTTTGGCAGAATATGAGCCGCCAGTTTCCTCCCAAGTACAGCAGTTGAGGCTGGTGTTACTGTTGTTTCCACTATCTGTTATTAGCTTCTTCGTTTTTTTAAACGCACACCTTACAGAGGTGCATGTGACAGTGCATTCAGATTCTCTGTCAGATTGGACCAGTGTGCAAATGGCACAGCTAACATCACACTATCCAGATAGCTCCCCTGTGGTTACCACACAGATTACTTCCAACGGTGTGAGCATGTCTCGAGTACTATTTACTGCTGCTACATGTCAGATGTGGGACAGCTGTAGAGCATATCCCTGTCTGGTGTTCTGCGGATTGTCACAGAGCTTGTTTACTTCAGAGGGAAAAACACCAAAACCAGAACCAGCTGCACATTTATAGCAACAGTTTCTGTGATCTGACTTACACTAAGATTTTTTTTTTTATTTTTCTTTTGTAAATACAAGATTTTTTTTTCCCTCTAGTTTCACATAAGAGCAGTCCTTTACAGAGACCTGAACCACTAGAATACCTCTACTTACCTGTATTTGAATGTCAGCATCCTGGGTTTATCTACAGTTCACGTGAACCTCTTCAGAAATGATAATCGTATTTACTCATAATGGTATCAGACGGTAACGGTGAACAAGGCGTGGGATTAGGTTGAAGAAAGGGCCAGGAGTCACCCTGACAGGTTCAGTCTTCCTCTGCGATTAAAGCCATTTCCAGCATGAACCTCAGTTACTGAGACAGATTGTAAAGAGGACTACATCAGGTACAAAAATTATTTATCCTACACAAGACTTGCAGTAGAAGCCACTTCTCTTAGGTGTGTTGGATCTGCGGTGACAGCTCGACCTAACTTAATTTAGACCTAAATTTCACCCTTCATTTTTAAATGGTACGTATTTATTTAGCTTCCTTTTCTTTTTCCTTTCTAGGCATATGTATTGACAAAGGGTGGATGATATTACTGTACAAGCAATGGAAATATTTTTTTAAGTGAATAGGCTAAAGCTGTGTTGTCAATATTTGACAGGCTGTGAACTACTTCTGTTTGTAATACAGGTTCTTTGAAATGCCTATAAGTCTTTAAAAAAAAAAAAAAAAAAGATCAATAAAAGTTTCATGTGTTGTCTGATTTCTAAACTAACATTTAGTGCCGTGTTTGAGTTGAGTGGTGAGGAGGAATACAGAGTCAATTATAGGAACAGCACCAAAGATGATTCACACAGATTTATTTTTGAATCCAAGGGGAGCAAAAGATTGACATATTTGCCTCATAAGGGTTATGTTGAGGTCCATGAATAATTTGGCTCAAGAAATTAATGCAAGTCACCTTAAAGGATACCCATTATACTTTTCATCATATTACTGTCATCTATTTACTGATACAGTGACTAAAGCTCATTTTAGAGTATTTTTTCCACTTTGCTCTGTATATGGAAGTTTATTTCAGACACTGCATGGGTGGAAAAATGACATCCATAAGTCAAACTTTGGGGTTTGGTTTTGTTGATTCATTTAATATGCCATCAACCTGGCAGGGACTACAGATGAAAATTAATCCATCTGGCTATTTACAAGATTAATTTTAGTGCTCATGTTAATTAATATGCATTGTCCCTTTGAAATAAACATACATATACCAACTTAATGATTTATGGATGGCAAAAAAAAATTTTTTTTTCAGTGGTTGAAACAAGTTTTCATGCCTTTATGTCGTCAGTGAGAATAAGTATTAATCATTCTTAACACGTCACATCTCACGCTGTTCAAACTTTGTTTGCTAAGGGCAGCAAATCAGAAAAGCAGAGGGATGAGCGCTACAATGAGTGGTTTCAGACAGTGGATGTACTGAGGGGTTGCACCAACATCCAGTATGAAATGTAAACGGATTATTTTGAACTTTGAGTCATGCAAAGCTACGGTAATGTTGTTAAAGAATTTACCAAAAAACAATGAAGCTGGAAATCAGCACAATAGGTCATCTTTAAGTGTCTTTATAACACTGGAGTGCAATAAAATGCTAATGTGTACAATTTCTAAATGTTGGATATAATCAGTAATTAAAGTTGAGCTGAGGTGTTTAACCTAATAACAAACAGCAGGTGTCAGTAGTGGATGCTTAGTGCAACATTTCCCAGTTGTGCTTCATAGAAGAACAAACTGGAAGCCTTAGCATTCACTACAAACTCTTAAAGCTTTTTAGAAAGAAAACTGGAATAGGTTCTATTATGTGGTTATAAAGTTGTAATAGATGCATTTATTGATGATTAAGAGATTAACTGCTCTGAATTGAGTTGATTGTTTTAGAGTTAGATATTAGTTTTGCCAATTTGTAACTCAAATATTCTGCTTGAAGTAAACAATCCATGCATATGTGTTTTTCAGCTTCACATAACGATTAAATATATTAATTCATATCTGCACGTGATCAGACTTGCCTATAATGTAGTGAGAGAGGTTAATTAACAACTCAAAAAGACATGACTTAAAACTCTTTACAAAGGGTGTATTTTTTATCTCAAATGTAACCAAAGATTTCAATTCATACTCAGATGTGTTACCAAAGTTAAATCAGAAGTTGGATCTTCTGGTCAAACCTGAACTACTGACGTCATTACAGGAGTTCAAAAGTCCTGCTCCCGTCATCAATCAGGGTGTGACCACATTGTGTGGGATGTAGTCATGAAAGATTTAATGTTGTTTTTTGCTATTGAGCGCATTGCAGCAGTTAATTACTTGAGCCAAACCACCAAAAAAAAGCCACAAAAATATGAACTGAAAGCAGAGAGAGAGAGAGAGAGAACACAGAGTTTCATCAGAACTACACAACACTGAACATAATTCACTGTGTTCTTTGATTTAGGGTTTGTGTCCTGAGGTTTCCCTGGACAACATTTCCCCCACTTGTTTTTGAGACTTGCCAGTGACCCACAGATAACTTTAAAAGCCCAAGTTGCCCTTATACATATATATATATAAATTGGTCATTGTGGGGTTTTTTTTTTTTTTTTTTTAAAAATCACTATTGCTTAATTGGCAGGGAAAGACTCAGTATAAACACTGAATAAAGACTGAAAAGAAATATACATAAAAGTATGTGTATATATATGGATATATATATACACACACTTTTAATTTGATTCCAAGTGTTAACCAGCACTTTCTGGGGTCTTTGTGTCTATGTCACAGTTAGTTTAAATCCTTCAAATGTTTATCAAACCTCTATTATTGTCTTTTTTGCACATTAAAAGTTAGATTATTTGATTTCTCATTATATATATATATATATATATGTATATATATATATATGTATATATATATATATATATATAGTTCCATAAAGTTTATACCACACATAGAAAAATAATTAAGTTCTCTTATTTACTGTATTTCCTATCTTACAATGTGCAAAGCCTCCCACAGGCATACGCCTCCTCATGAAAAATGAAGTCCCCACGTTAATGACACTGAATACATTCTTGTAGGCATGTGCTGCTTGCATGCAGCACAGGACGAGGTCCACTCTACAGAAATTCGTAACAGGAGATAGCGGTTGTCTTACTCAAACACTGATCTGTTGTAGTATGATCACTGATTTTAAAGGAGGAGGGAGAGAAATGCCATGTGGAAAATTAGGACTACGAGGTCCAATTATAATCCAATTTATGCAGCACAGAATCATCACAGTGGAGCAAGCAGGTATTGGAGATTCAATGAAAATGTAATTTGTGGGTTTTAAAAACAAGGAGGCAGTTTATACAAGCGCTTTTTGCTTTGTTTTTTTCTTTTGCACTGACAGGAGGCTGGTGAGATAGCAAGCGAGAATGTCTAATAGTTTAATGTCCCGGATTTGGATTTTATTATTTATTTAGAGTTGTCCTGAAGAAAGAGATTGAATAATTAACTCAGAATGGTTCTGTCATCATTTGTGGGATCTGGGATCATAAAGGTGCATTCTGTACGTTCGCTTTCACTCTTTTCTGTACTTGACAGTAATTTAGGGAACTTACTAAATCAGATACAGATAAATCTTGTAAAATTATTGTTCCGTTATCATTTTAAGTTTAAAAAAAAAAAGGTGATTTGTGAGATAAGGAAGATACTTTGAAGCATTGTTTCTCCAAGTCAAGACAAATATACAAATCTATATTCTTCATCTGGTCCCATCTGCAGTATGAAGGTTAATGAAAATGGTAGTTACATGTGGCCAATGATAAATGATAAGTCACAGAAATAATTCAAAGAAAAAAGGCCAAATGTATTTGAAGTTTTGAATAATGAACTTTCAGACATTAACAGCCTAGTTAGACTGAAGAATCATAAGTGCCCAGAGGTATTATCGTGGTAGAAACTGTAGCTGTTGATGTGACAGTTGATTTTCCTCCCAGCCTAATCCAACCTGAGCAGCATCAACCTTTAAGAAAAGCTGCTGCTTGTGCCAAATCATGATAGGCTCCTCTATCCTCGAGCAATAAACAGTAAATAAGAGTAGAGGCGCTTTCTATTGACACTCGATGCTTGCTTGGGTTTTCTATGCTGTACTGCACAAACTGGGAACAGTGGAATAAAATGTTCACTTTTCAGTGCTTTGAAGCACTCTGTACAACTGACTCCGTCTTCTGAAAATGGCTGGATTCAAGGTGGCCTAGAACAAAACTGACTTTCTAAATAAACGTATGCTATCGGGTAGGGTTTCCCCTTTGTGAACACTACACTCTAATACTGGGAAGATGATATAAGAGTGCACGGTTTTACAAGATATCTTGTAGCAGATGTCAAAGACTGACTTTGTGGCCATGTGTTGAGCTCAGCCCATCATTTCACACAGATGAAGAGGAGGTTGGACTGTCAGCTTCATACCATCTGGCAGTGCATTAGATCAGATGGTGAGGAGGCTGCAAAGCAAGCCTACTAAGCCAGAACATGTAGGGCTGAGTCTGCTGGGGATCCTGGTGATGGTCTCCGTCTACAGTAACACTGATCCCCTCAATGCCATCTTTAGCTCAGTGATACAAATTATGGTGAGTGTACTAAAAGTCTGGCTTACCCCAACTTTCCATTGTGACTGTAGAACTCCAAGGTTCTTTTTAGCTTTTGTCAAATATTTAATGGGTAATTAAAACGTCTTCCCGGTACTGCTGGATTTGGCCTAATATTATATAAGTGTGTCCTGAAAAATCTTCTTTTTTTTTTTAAACTTAAGGCAGCTTTAATCAGTGTTATTACAATGACAGTTGCTCACATGACTGCTTATATTTAAGTGCTTGCAGTTCTGAACCTAAAGAGTATTACTGGCTTTGCATTGTCCTCACTCTGAATGTTTTACGATCCATAACTGCAGTTTAGAAAAATAAATATTACCTGCAAAGCATCAATCAGCAGACGATGTTAGCATCCAGCTGCTGAATACCATCAAGTGTTAAGGAGCTGAAAAGCAACGGTTTGGTGGTACCAGTGCATGATGTAGAGCTGGGTTCACATGTTTTTCCACCGTTTTACAAAAAAAAAAAAAAAAAAAAAAAAGGCCCCCTTAAATTGGGACCCAAAGTGACATAAGTGTCTACACCAAGACACTGTCAGATACAGCCTCAATTTTCCTCCCACAGAAACAACACCTACTTCTACTGGGAACACTTCATGATATTAGATTCTCTGCCAAAATGTGTGCTGGTTCTCAAAAGGCACAATGGTAGAACTGGCTCAGCACCTCGTCTGCGGAAGAGAGGTTGCAAATGAAATCCCAAATGTAACTCATACGTTTGTTTTCTAAATGTAAAAAGCCATAATATATCCATGTCACTGCCATCAAGGGGCCAAATAACGTTACTGCAGTTCTCACAAGACAATCTCACACCACTCAGCACAGCTACAAAAAGCAGAGCAACTGGCTTCTCCCGATAATCCACAGAGCTCAGAGAAGGGTATAATGGAATAGGATGGGATCTTTGTATCGGGTTGACAGGATGACTGGTGTCTCCCAGAAAGTCCTAGAGAGAGTGGATGCTTTTTGTTCTGCGTGCCCAGCTAAAACAGTTAGATGCCTTAAAACTAGATCATGTCTCTTACTAAAGTATTTAATGGGTTAGTATTTTATATTTACATACATCTAAAAGTATAAATGTTTACAGGTGAAATAAAGCATCCTTGGGTGCCAACACAGGCGATATGGATGGCTGTGAAATGGAGGGATCTCAAGTTCTAAAAATTAAGAAATGATGATATGAAGGATAATGTTAGCAGATCTTACTGTTGCATATGTTTAGCTTAATGTTGCCTCCATTCTATTCACAAATCTCACACATTGATTTCAAGTCTTAAGTGCTTGAGCACATCTTTAAAAAAACTAAAGTATTTTTCTATCATTCTGTCGATAATTTTGTGAAGTTGTGTGAAAATAGGGGTCAAGGATTAAACAAACTGTGACACAACAAACAGCATCGGCACTGTCTGATGCAGACACACAAACAAACATCCCCTAGGAGAAAGGAAGTCTGTGAAAATATCAGCCACTAAGCATTTTCAGGTCTTTTTTTCTGAGTATTAGAAAAAAAGCATATTCAAAGCTGCAAATAACAGACTATGCATTTCATTTCATGCATCATATAAAATATTAGTTATTCTTCAGTATATTTACAGTATATATTACACATGATATTCTGTACAGTCAAAGTTCAATCTACACCACATTCTTAAAAATATTTTCTGACCCATAATTAGTTTTACAAGAAAAACATACAAAACAAACAATTGGTTGTTTTGTAGGACGTCCTCGAAGTGAAGCTCTCCACCGCACTGACGGGAGAACTGTGAAATAATCCTGTGAGGGTGACTAGAGCACACATGCGCGCCTGCACACACACACACACACCCAAACACAGACACACACGACACAAGGGGAGGCGTAAGGGGGAGTCTTTTGCAGGCCTTGTATGGCCCTGTTTTCTTGGAGGGAAGGCTTCATTCCACAGCCAAACCTGCTGCCACAGCAAGCCCCATCCCGGGTTCTCTGGTGTACTCTGGGCTCAGGAGTGAAGTGCAAACAGCACAAGATTCGCGTGAGAGAAGCAGAGCAACAGAGTGTCCACTTCTCATCCTCTGAGGTTTCAGTGGTGCACTTTCAGCAGAACTGCACTTTACACTCCCATCAACCACACCTGAGTTTGGTTAACTGCACTTCTGATAGGCTTGGGCTAGTTACTGCGGCTGTGTCGCTGAGCGGTCAGACAAACTATCTGCTCTGTGAGGAGCCAGCTGCTGTTGCTGCTTTTGTTGTAACTGCTTCTGCTGTGTTTGATGCTGTTGCTGCTGCTGTTGGGCTGCTGCAGTGAAGGTACCCTGCTGCTGCAAAGGGAACGCTGCCTGCAGGATCAGCTGGGTGGACTGGTTTCCATGAAGGAGTCGAGGAGCCTTAAGTGAAAAAGTTACATTAGCTTAGTCGGCACAGCCTAACGAGCCAAGATGTAACTTAAAGCTGCAGTAACTAGGACTCTGCTGATTCACTGTAAAGCAAGAAAGGCAGGCAAATCAGTGTCTGTGTAATGGCTGAACAATACACAGACACTGAGACATGAGTGCGCATGCTGTGTTCTTCATGCTCTATTCAGGGTGGTCCCTTGGCTAAACCAGAGGATTTCTAACCATTTAAAAGTATCTGAAGCAGACCATTATTTAGAGATTACAGATTATTGAAATGTAATAGACTACAACAAGCAAAAGATCTGGACCGCTATGTCTCACCATACTTAGCCTTATGATTGTAGTGCGACCAAAAAAAAACAGGCTTTTGGAGGCCATCAGTCAAAGCATATCAGTTCCTCCTCGTATATTAATTATATTAAAAAAAAAATAGTAACTTGTGGCATTAAGTTAAACTTTAATTTCTAGATCTAATTTGTCATCCACCATCCTCTTGTTGTGGTTAGAGTCCGATTGAACAGTGAGTAGTGATATGGAACTGAAACATCGTTGTTGTCAACAGGAATTCATCTAAACTAAGCTGCATCTTTCAACATTGTATTTTAATCAAAATCACATTTTGAAAATGTCCTCGTCTGTCAACAGATCTGAAAAAAAATATTCACATTCAACTCCATCTCCTGTGTCAAGTTCTTTGAGCATACAAAGAATTTTCAATTTATATAAAATAAAATTCATTAGGATATTTTAAATCACATAAACAGCAAGCTGCCTGTATGCGAGCCAACTTCATACAGTAAAACTTCACCTGATAAGTGGTTACTGTGTCAGTGTTACCTGTAGGAACTGTGTTTGCTGCTGGGTCAGTGGAGCTTGCCCTTGCTGCATGGCTGTGACCTGAGACTGCGGTTGAATCTGTTGCTCCTGTTGCTGTTGCTGCTGCGGAGCCTGTTGGGAAATGCTAATTGTCTGCGTCTGGCCCTGCTGCGGTGCAAAGGCCGTCACCACTTGACCCATAAACATGGTTGTGGGGACCATAACTGCCCCACATGTCATCTGCCCTGTCACTAGCTTGGTGAGCAGCTGGGGGCCTGCAGGAAACCTGTAAGGTTCAGGAAGTTAGTCAGGTCTGATAAGTCTAATTAACCCAAATTGACATAAGGTCAATATATATGACCTTTTTTCACTATAAAAGTGCACTGTACCTAAATTAGTACTACATTAAATTGAAGTATTATGCACCACAGAGGGTGCCATCAATGAACTCGAGCACTACTTAATAACATTTTCATTATGAAGAAATATAACAAATAGATTTATGTGAAGATTCACACCTAATCTGAGCCGAACGGTCCTGTGCAAATGTTGCCACAGCAGGAGTGTTGGGTCCAGTATTCTGCGCCAGGCTTGTGGCAATCTGAACCACGTTAGCAGGACTTTGCTGAGGGATCATCATCGTGTTGTAGAGAGATGCAGGCAGTGGATTCTGTTGAGGCTGCACTGTGTGCGACGACCTCTGAGGCTGAAATAAACAGAACCGGAGTCTATGACACGAGCATGCTGGATGGAAAAATCTATAACAAACACAGCTAAGCTATGAATTCAGCGGGTCAGTGAGAGGCAAAATGAGAACCGTTTAGCCTGTCTGACCTGCGAGAGTGCTGTGTTCTGTTCCCGTAGGAGTGTTTGCTGCTGGGATGGGGGCTGCACAGCATGTTGTTGCTGTATGCTGTTTTGCAGAGATCCTGCAGAAACCACCTGGCCCTGCATGCTGAGTGTACCCCCCTGCTGCCCACCATTCCCCTGGGCCATCTGTACAGAGCTCACATTTAGTCCTCCAGGCCCTTTCTGCAGGAACATCTGAGATACACATCACACATTCGAACTCCAGCTCTAATTATAACAGCAACACATCCATCATGTAAGCTGAATATAAAACAATTAAAAAGAAAACCTTTCATATATTTACTAGGCTATGTAATCATTCATTTGCAACACTTGTGCGCAGCTCTTCAGTCCTACCTGCAGACTCTGTCCCTGCACCCTCTGTAGCTCGTCCTGGATCTGCCGCAGCTCATCCTGCTGCCGCTGAATGTTGACCTCGATCATTCTGGTCCTCTGCTCCAGCTGCTCTTTCAGGTGCTGCATGGCTTCTAACTGGCTGGAGAACTGGACCATTGACTGTTAAAGAATAAAGACATAACAGTATGGCAGTTTATTTTAAATGTTCCATACGTATATTTTACAAATTGTTAAGGCTCAGGTCACATTCTCTGAGTACAAACAACTTCTTGCATGCTGACCACAGAACACATTTTAACCAACAGTGACCACTGGCTTAAAAATGTAACCAATTCAAACTGCAGCTCCAAGAATATCTGCTTAACGTTGGCAATAAAAGCAAGTGAATTTGTGAACACCCATAAAATTCTCAGCTTTAAAGCAAAAATAAACATATTTACAGCCTGCAAACTTTCCTTTGTTCTCTACAGCCAACTGACGGTTCATGACAACTGTGTGCAGGGGCTATATTTTTATTTAACTCACCTACATTTTTTAAAGACTTAAAAATCCAACATGCTGACGGTCAGACTACAGGCTACAGTAGTCCACAAACCAATAGGTGGCATCATAGGGACTACGTCTACGTTTTATATATAAATATAGGCATTCCTGGGTTAACAGCCCCATCATGTCAGTGCGTGGGAGCTATACAGAGCTTTGCAGATCCATGTTCATTGGCTGTCCCATGTCATAAGGCAGTGTCAAACAGACACATAGGCTACTCTTGTTCATAATTGTGCTGTTGGACCTTCAGTTTATCAAGTGCCACACAGAAGACATAAGACATGATGGATAAAGAAGTTCTTTATAGTGAAGTGAAACTGAGCATTAAAAAAAACAAACAAACAAACAAACAAAAAAAACGCTGTCCACTGCAGTCATTGTCTGCTAGTTATACTTAAGAATCAGCAATATTAGACAATAAAAAAAAATGACGTGAATATCTTACTTGGTTGTTGGTCGGAACTTGTTGCTGTTGCTGCTGTTGTTGTTGCTGTTGCTGCTGTTGTGGCTGCTGCGGCTGTTGTTGTGAAACCATGGATGACGCCACGTTCTGTCCTGTATTTTGGGAACTCATCGACTGCTGATGGAATTAAAGACACCAAACAAAAGTCCTAAGTCCTAATGAAATCCCTCATGACCCAGAATACAGGTATCGTGAAATTTAAGACCAGAGCGTGTGCGCTTGTCCATCCACTGACCTGACTGCTGATAGATGATCTCCGTTGTGATGTCATCTCCACAGCAGAGACCGACTGGCGACCTGGTGTACTCCTATCTCCCTGAAGCTTCATTTGTGATGCTGAAGGGCAAATATAAACATGATGCTCAGATAATAATAATAAAAAAAGAAATAGTTAATATACATCAAGCTTTGCTCAGTAGTGAACAGATGCTTGTACTTACAGGCTGGGTCAGACACAGCCGTGTGGGAAGATTTACGTGAGCTGCGAGACGAGGCCGATGGGGTCCGACTGTGGTCAAATCGCTCTAAGGCCTCTTTCAAGCTGAAAGTGTTGAGCTGGGACTCAGAGCCTGAATCCTGGGATTGCTGCAAACAATGCATTGTCACAAGGTCACTATGCTGTCCACTCTTTAATTTTTACAAATCATACCTCATGTTGGTCTGACCTTCTCAGCGGTGATTTGAGGTGGTGATTCTTCAATTCCCAGCTCTCTGCGCTGTTCTGCTCTTACTTCAGCATAACTGCAGCGCAAAGACAATTAATGACACACACAGTTAGGGTTGGACACAACTTTCATAATTATGGCTCTGGAAATCACCAGAATACACCTGAATTAAAACAATTCAAGTTCAGACTTTCTGATTTCAAAGTTTGAACAGAGGTATATGGAAAATTAACAAATCATGACTTTTTTTTAATATAAAGTTTAATACAATTGTAATACTACTACTAATAATAATAATATATATATTGCTGCATTTGGCTGCCTCTTATACATTTCAATATGTAAAAATATTTCCAGTAGCTTTTGTCTACTCCATAGTAATAAAAACACCACATCACTGGAAGCAAAGCATGTCATTATACTACCTCTAGGGTTTTACAGAGGACTGTATGTTTTAGCTCGTGAGCAATGTCATATCAAAGGGTCAAGAGGGAAATCTTCATGCACCTTACGACCGTGTGTGTGCAGACAATGAACTCTGGCCTGGAGTTCCACTGGTGATAAGTAATGTAGTAATGGGTCTGAAGCCAAATCCATTGCTGCCCTTTGGTGAGGAATCTGTAGTAGCAGGACTTTCCTTTCCCATATTGCATTACTACACAGAAGCAAAGAGAAGATTTCAATGCTCTGCTTTGGAAGCTCGAGAGGAAGTTGATAACTGGAGTTGACCATGCTTCAGTGATCGCTGACAGAAGTGTACTCACAGTGTTCGTGACACTTGGCTAGTGTCTCAAGGTCATCTACATGATAGTAGTCATATCCTGATGTACCCAGGACCTCAAATGGGAGGTAACCTATGATGGGCGGAGCTCTGGACAAACACAGTAAACGTTATTGAAATGATTAACTGGAAGTCAATCAGGAAATGTCTTGTTCTTACGTTAAGTCATACATCCAGCCATATTTACCCCTAAATGACAACATAAAGCAATAAAGGAGTATGTATGCATGTAGCTTCACCTGATGCTTTCACAGCATAAGGAAAATAAGTGTCTTTCTAAATGGTTCAGGGTAGCATGCCTAAACATTTTCAGTAATGAGAGTTGGGATAATTTGCTACTCCCAGCTCTCACCACTCACCAGGATGAAATGTCTGTATTCAGGTGTACAGTTTACCTTTCTACCAGCCCAGAAGAGCTGTTGTTGTAATGTTTAATGAGACTGATAAAGCTGATAAAGCTTCTTTTTTTTTTTTTTTTAAATCCCTGAATAAGATCATTGAGCTTTTGTAACTATGAGAGCCAACTACATCTGTGTCTAAATTAGCTACTGGTTACAGTTATACCTGTAGTTCATTTCATTTGGCCTGTCCCAAGGAAAACACACGCGACGCCGTTGTTCTGAGTTCATGTTCACACTTTTTTTTTTTTTAAACATATTAAGTGGTGTAAGCTTGAAGGAGGAGCTTCAGCCCTCAGGCTATCTGACTTCTGAACTACCTACTATTCTTATCTTACACACCTTAACCTTGGACTTCTATCATTCAACCTTAACTGAATGACATTTGCACGTCACACTGTTTATTGCATCATTATGCAGGCATTATTTCGACACTGATTAGGATTTTTATTATTATTCTTCCATGCTGGAGACAGCTATGGCCAGAACGGATCTTTTGGGTTGTCTATCCCATTCACGTAATATATCAGGAATGCCTGGAGGGAATGTCGTCCCACCTGGGATAAATATTAACTTTGAATTAAGGATGAACTCATTAAAATGTACTCATTTTTTTTGGACAAAGGTCACTCTGATCTACCAAAACGAGATTTCAGCCAAAACTCAGGAATGTCTGCACTAATTATGAAAAACATCTTTGAAATAATAAAATTATTAAGTTACTCCATTTTATTTTTATAAAGGTAAAGAATTAGCTACACTGAAACATAACCTAGGATATCAACTGAAACGTGCATGGTTTCAGAGGCATACAAAAGTGAATGCTTGCTTACTTTCAAATCCTCTTATCCCCCCCAAACATCTATTTGTGTAAGAAAATATATACATAAATATTCCAGATCCATGAGCTTACAAACAATATGTTGTACAATATGTAGTTGTGTAGATAGTCAACAAAAACAAGTATCAATCGTGAAGTTAGAGTGACTGACAGGTTTTGGATAGTGTTCGTGATATCACCCCGAGTCATCAGCACCACGTCGAAGGCCCGTGGGAAATAAAGTAAAAATGCTGGTGACCGATAGCGGGTCAGGTTGACCTCACTCTTCTTTTATAATAATAATTATGTTTCCTGACCACAAGCCTTCATAAAAGCAAGCCTGCTGTGTAATAAATAATGACAGAAGTGTTACAAAACACGAGTTTTTTCGATTTGGTCTCTCACAAAAATCAACAATTCTGATTTAACAAAAAAGCCACGCAGTCACATACCGTAACCATGGTTAAAAAAAAAAAAAAAAAAGGTCATTCTTTATAAATATAGGTCAGCAACTTTCACACCAAATCAAGTAGGTTAGGTTTGACTAAACACTTAATACTGATCCATTGTAGCACAAACTGGAAATTAAGTTATGCATTTACACTGATAAATTGGAAAAGAATTACCTGTGGTCCAGGAAGAGAAATTTCCACTCTAAACTATGTCTGGATGTAAATTCCTCATTAGGCTCTTCTACTGTGCACATCTCCTATTGGTGCAAGGGGAGAAAACAGAACTTAGAAGACATAAAAATACACATACACAACTCTAAACTACACACAGTATATTGTCTTAAAAAGAGCCTTTTAAACTTGTGCAGTATGACAAATTACATGATCAATCATCCCTGTTTGTTCAGCAATACAAGTTCTGGTTTATTTTCAACTTATTTTATCCATTTAGGTTCTGCCATCTCCAGTAAAACAGCCCAGGTTTCTACGACAGCGATATGTCAACATAACCCCTCCCCCATTTTTTAAATGAGGTAAAAAAGTTATTCCCAGCAGAGGCATGAGGGAACTACACATGATAAATGACAAGGGCCCAAATCATTTTTCCTCAGGTGACCATTACTGCTGAGCCCTGTCCTAATTAAAGCTACCTTAAGAGCCCTAAAGCAAGAAACCGAATGTGTGTCAACCAGATAAAAGGAGAAGCAGTTAAAGATTCTCACCTTGATAAACTGTGGCTTGGCTAGCCTCACAGTGGCTATGAGACACACTCTGTCTTCAAAGGCAGAGTGAAGTGATCGCTGGATCACTCCATCGAAACCATTTCGGGTACAGTTAGGCACTGGTAAAAAAGAATGGGAACAAAGCAAAGTTAATCCTTTCACACAACATCTCTGCTCTACATTCTGACTCCGTGTACTGTAACTTACCATTATTCAGGGACTTGAAGTTTCCAATAAACTTTACATATTCATACACGGGGGGCTCTTTGGGGTCGATTGTCCCTCGGAGCATGTGGCAACAGAACTCTAGCTGATTTTTTGCTATAACAATAATAATAATAATAATAATAATAGCTTAAACATAAGAATTGAAGAACAAAAACAGCAGCTGAAGACAGATAACATATCCAACCTACTTTTAAGATACTCAGGTGTCAATGTTTCTCCTTCCATGACATGAGAGGACAGAGCCTTGTACACCTCTGAATGCTCCCCCACAGGCAAGAAATTTAACAAGTTCTGATCAACAAGATCAGACTGGGGAAAAACAAAACCAATGAATATGTTTATTACCAAATGTTTCATCAGTGAACTACTGACTTTATCTATTATTTAAAGCTTATACTCACTGGTAAATGTTCTAGTAGGGAAGTCACACTCTCAGAGACATAGATTATATTCCCATCAGCCATAATTGCAAGGAAAAATCCATCTAACGCCTAATAGAAACAAAGGTTAGATAATATTTCATCTATATTTTTGCATAGAAACACAAGAAAAATAAGTGCAAGAAACTGCCTTACCTCCAACATCAGCTGAGTGAACTCTTCATTACTAAGAAAAGGAGGTTTCCAGTCTTGTCTGATCTCAGTTGACTCTGACTGAGCTGCGATTTCTGATAAAGTAGACATAACGCATGTAACTTATAACTCTGCGAATTTAAAAAGGCACCCATTATGCTTTACCTTATGGACCATTAAAGTGGTCAGTATATGTAATCCCAGTAAGCCAAATGTTCAAGTTTCAGAATGCACAAAGCAATCAGTTTCAGCTCATTTTTGTTCTACTTTTGGCTGTGTATGGTGGCCCTAATATGAGTCCACACAGAATTTGTTTGCAAGAGGCAGTCAAACAGAAGCAAGTTGGCTTGAAGAGAAAGAGCTAAAACATTTCATTTTAAACTAAGGATGAACTGAGGGATAAACCCACTACCATTATAATTAATTCTAGTGGTTATTAGAGTTTTTCACCTTTGTGTTTGTGCAGAAAGTCGATACTTTTCTGCAAAATAGTGGACTTGTCCATCTTCCGGGTGTTGCCCGGCAGCATTGTACCCAACTCCTTGATGAGGACATTGAACTGGTCTCTGCGCTTCTTCTCAGACTTGTTACGGGACACGCTGGTTATTTAGAAGAACAAATATTAGTAAAAGTTAGATGACATCTTAACTAGGAACACTTATCAAAATCTTGTTCACTGTAGCTGTAATAATTCAAAACGATATCTAAAATCAAGTCTTTTAACAACTACAATAGCAGTTTTATGGAGGATGTAACTTCACTGAATGCATTTGATATGAAAACAAACCCAAGATCTTACCGTTTTGCTTTGTCCTTTTCATCTTCTTCCATTAACCCATCAAAAATACTACTGTCATCCCTGCAGATTGGACAAACCAACAGTTATATCAGATCCTTTAACATTTACAGTGAGCTCTTTGATAAGAAAATCTCTCCTAGAAAACATGAAGACATCAAACTCAGGCACTGTAAATCCCTAAATTACTTTGATCTTAATCTTCAAAACAAGGAAAAAAGGAAATCACTGTTAATTAGATGCATGAGAACTGTGGGCTGAATGTGTTTTGGATTTTCTTCATGTCCCACTATTTTTTTAAATCAACAATAAAAAAAAAAAAACTAGCCAAATGTTTGACTCACTGGTCAATGCTCGAGGTCATTTTGTATCCTGTTCAGGGTCGCAGTGTCGGTGAGGGGTCTTTTAATCGTGAGGTAGACATTTGTGAATAAACCTTTGAAGAAAAAACACCCATAAAATGGCAGAGTGTCAAAGAATCAAAAAACTTCAGACACGAGCAAAGATGGTAAAGACATTTCACCTTACTGACAGTACAGCCAGTTCTGTGAGAGGATGAGGAAGGTGCTGCTGGGTGAAGGTAGAGTACAGGTGGACACTCTGTGATAGGGGTGTGCTTTTATGAGTCTTGGAGGATATTCTCTCAAAGTCTCTCTTACCAGGCTGCAGAAAATAGCTAAAAGTTCCTCGGGGTGCTGTGTCTTTCGTCTGCTTAGGGTGTAAGTCTGGCACATGGCAGCAACATCTGAGTCTATGAGACAAAAAGACACAACAACCGAGGCCGTTATTGAAAGATTAGAGAACCATGATATATGAGATTGATTTATATTTTAAAAAAGTAAAAATAAAAAAAACAAGCATTTATAAGAATTCTGCCTACATTTATGCCTGAGGGTTGAAATTACTCCTTATTCTTTCATAAATATAAATACATTATAACAATGGTGGATGCTAATATGATCAACGATCATGTCCCATGTTTGTTTAGATATGCAGCTGTGTGGAGCTCTCTCTCCTCTCTGCAAGGCAGGTAGGTGAGTGTGTTTGCTGCTGAGACCAGGCGAGACTGCTGATTGGCTGGTTTGAAGAAACTGCTGTGTACAGACTGGACAGCCACCCCTTAACCTCCTTGCCTCCTCTCCACTCTATAAAGAGCTAGCAGTTAGGCAGCTAATAGCACTGCGTGTTTGTGTGAGAACACTGGTTCTAAGAGTTGACTCTTAACACTAGGTGTGGAAGTGAGATATAGGTTAAGAGTTATTGATTACAGTTTATTTTAATACTACTGTATTACTATTGGCTCTGTATGATGTCAGTGACAGAGGATAAAGCTCAGTTTCAAATGGGAAGGGAGCTAAAACAGCTTATTTCAGAACCAGATGAACTAATGGGCAACACCAAGGTCCAGTATAAGATAAGGTTAAGTTTGAACTGTGAATCCTGCAAAACTGCTTTACCTGAATTCAAGAATAGAACTGTCGACCTGCAATTGTTATTCACTCTTAATGTGGCAGCACAATATCAGCACTCACATCAGCACAGTGAATTTTGCTGTTGCTGTTGAATGTATGACTATAATCACCTGCATCCACCACAGCTTATATTAAGGTGGTGCTTTAATAGGGGTCACATCCTACATGTGCAACAGAGACGCCGAGGAAAGCCAAAGGCTGAAATGAGTCAGTTTCTTTCTGCTGCCATGTAATATTAAAACCATTACATATAGTAAACAATTATGAGTGCTGATGTTCTCATCAATTTATTTTTTTGTGTTTGCAGTGGGTCAGCATCAATGAGACTGTTCTTTTTGTATAGTATAATGTGGTAATACATCCCTTTACTTTAATAAAACCAAGTGGAGTTTTGTACTACATCAAATAGTCATTGCGTAGTTTCTTTGGCAATTCTTTGTGTGTTTTGCCAATGAAACAGCAGCAGAATGTGTTGGGTTTGCAATAGCTGTAACCTCAAACAGCTCTGTCACAGAGAGTGAACAGTAAACAGTGAGGCTGTTATCAATTACATAAAATTACACTGGATTATATGCTCCATTGCTAACTGCAAATCACCCAAGCAATCTAAAGTAAGTGTGGCAAAAGTGGACTCTAAATACTAACAAACTCAAACAACAAAAACAAAAAGTAAAATAAAAAAATATTAATAGATGTGCAGTTGCACAAAAAAGGAAAAAAAAAATCCTGTGGATTACAATTTTTGAATTAATTACTTAAATTGACGTTTGATCGTCATAGTCATAACTGTAATCAAATACATTATGGTTTAACTACAAACATACTTTTTTAGGCCATTGTAAAAACCTTGGCTAGTAGGGTTTGGCTCGAGTGCAACATCCCAAAAAAAAATTAAAATGGTGACAGAAGTAATTTTAAAAGCGATAAAAAAATAAAAAAAATAAATTAGGGTACTTACTACCAAATATTTGCCTGCTTGTGTGCTGCTGTGTCAGATATACCAGAATCTGTCTTGATTTAAACAAGCCACAAATGCAACCATCAGTAACTGAAATACTCTTTCTACCACCCATCTCTACTATCTATTCTCTTTGCCCAGGTACACTAGATTTCAAATTAAAATGAGAAAGCCCGCTGGGTCTCTAGCCTAAATATTTGACCCATTTACTTCATGAACCAGTTACCGTCACAACCTATGTGGGAGGCTTTCTCAACATAACGGCCTATTTGTGTTGGTGAGAAAATCCCTTCAGTGTTTTTCCCCATGAATCTTGGTAGACATAATTTAAAGAGTTTAAATTAGGCCTGTTAACATTTGGTAAAGCCAAAAAGAAGAATTACACCTACACTCACCGATAGAATGAGTGAGTGTAGGTGTATTATTAGAGTAAACAAAGCTCTTCAGTTAATTGAAATAAAAAAATGAAAATGAATGAAAAAACCAATAAAAATAAAGCTACTTTCAGCAGTTGCCTTATTCACAAGGAGTCACCACAGAGGTAGCATTACATATTTAAACTGAATCAAGCAATCAACCCACCCTTGAAATCAACTAAAACTAAAGTGTATTGAAAATTAAAGCTAAAAAACAACAACAATAATAAACATAACTCTGGATCCAATATGCATATTTATGGTACGTTTCAAAAAATATACATCAGCCACCTCACATAATTAAAATATAGTTCTTTTTAATGTGATTTAAAATATTTCTGTCTTATTTACTTTTCATATTCCATTGAAATCTAGTCATCAAAGTGTTGCAATTCAGAAAATGCATTGTAAAAAGAGTATCATGAGCTAGAGCTTCAATGTGCACATTTTCATTCAGTAATTTGTTCTTTCCATTCATTTAAAGTTTATATCTTGTTTAGCAGCACAGTGGTTAGCACTGTTGCCGCACAGCAAGAAGGTCCTGAGATCAATTCCACCATCAGGGTCTTTCTGTGTGGAGTTTGCATGTTCTCCCCGTGTTTGCGTGGGTTCCCTCCGGGTACTCCGGCTTCCTCCCACAGTCCAAAGACATGTAGTTTGTGGGGATAGGTTAATTGATTAGTCTAAATTGCCTATAGGTGTGAATGCGGGAGTGAGTGTCAGTGCGAATGATTGTCTGGCTCTGTGTGTTAGCCCTGCGACAGACTGGCGACCTGTCCAGGGTGTACCCCGCCTCTCGCCCTATGACAGCTGGGATAGCCCCCCCCCGCCACACTGAAAAGAAGAAGCGGATGGATCTTATTTATTTATATGTACAGGATTTTTGGTTTTTGTCAAAAGGGGGGGACTACAAATAATGACATAAAAACAATTTTCACCATCATATATGGTGATGCCAGAACTTCAGAAGCCTGAAACATTTTTAAACAGATGCAAACACTGTCTACTTAAAACTGATTAAAGTACACAAATAACTGAGATATGAACTAGCAGGTATAGTACGTGTGTAATGGAAACTTCAGTCAGCAATGACAATACTGGTTTAAAAAAAGGATTTCTATTGGTTGGAATAAACTTGCTGTCAAGTCAATCAAAATAAGGAAGGAAGTTGGCACTGGAAGTGTTTACACCTTAGTGTTGGGACAGTGGAAAAAATGAAGGTAAGAGGGAGGAGTAGGTTCTGTCATGGCCCACTGACTTTCAGCTATGCAGTGTTATTTTACTGCACCCTACATGTGACGCTTTTCACACAAATACATTAGAGAGTGGATGTCTTAACTGAGATTAAACCTTTGTCAACACAAGTGGCCAACTACACATTGGCACAGCACTGTAAAAGGGAGCGGTGAGTTGTAGTAAAGAGCATTGTCTAAAGATTTTGTACCAACAGACACAAAGAGCTTTTCCTTTTTGGCTGTACATCATCTTAAAAGCAGGCAAGCTAAACTGGATTGCAAATTAAGACTGGGGGGGAAAAAGGAAAAAAGAAAAAAAAGAAAAGGCAACAGAGGCCATCGAATGTAAGACAATTTCATAAATAAATTGGCTATATTAGAGCACAATGAAAGACAGAAAGAAAACATTGTAGTTGAAGCAGTAGCTTTCGGCACAGAGCGAACGTTGTGTAACTGGGAGAACAGGCGTTGTATAACTGTGATGTCATCTGTGCTTCACTGACCTGCTGGCCCAGTGACCTACTTTCCTCCTCCTCCGATCTAACTTAATCACAGCTCCACAAGCAACACCTTCCTCTTCTCACTAATAACACTACACTCTGTCAACACAAATCCTTAGTATTCCACAGCGTGTATACTTCACAAAAGGTGTGAAGAGGGAGTCAAACTGCCTGCATCTCACGTTTCCTCATTTAATCACATGATTTGAAAAGGCTTCCTGGTGTTTCCTAAGCCTCAGCGGGGACCAACGTCAAGGAAGAAAGCAATGAAGATGTGCTGCATTTTCATCGGGCTTTAACAACATCAACCAAACAGCCTCACTCACATATGCATTTTTCACACCGAAACATCTCAAAAAGCACTGACTGACGACAGTCATTTATCATAATTTTTATGTGGCTCACACAACATTGTTGAATGCCTGTATGTGGGTGTGTGCATTCAGATGTAGGGCACCAGAGCTCTGAGGATATGAGTCACTCTGAAGTGGATCTATGGCGCCGCTCGTCACGCACTCCGCCACACCCCGGCGCTGAGATGCCAACACAGCAACTGTGCCAATGGGCAACACCATAGCAACCGGCCTCACCGTGCAGTGTAAAAATAGCTCAGCCGAATTCCTCCGCAGCTGATACTCTCTCCATCATACACTAAGAATTATTAGACTACCGCGAGCGACTCCTTTTGTCATGAACTGGAGTCTGTGGATGTGAAACACTCTGCAGGTTCCACCTGTGCAGCAGTGCAGTAACACATGTGTTCTGTAAACATTACTGCACTGTTGTCTTCATGCAGTGAACATGGCTACGCACCAATTCAAACAGTACTTTTTGTCCCTAACTTATAATAAAGCAGATTCTACTTGTGAGGCAGAGCACTTTTACTTCTCAGTTAAGGGGGTCGTGGAAAGCAGAGAAAAAGAGCCAAAGATCCAAAAATGGATAGAAGATAGAATACAGCAAAAGCAGCTTTCACATATGACTCAGTAAGCTCGGAAATTAACAAAAAAAAAATTAACAAAACGCTAGATTACTACAATTTGTCTGACCAGAAATACTCAGTTAAATTATTCTAAAGCCCTGTCCACATATAGAGCAATAAACACAATGCTAACCGTAGGTCACAAGTATGCATTAATGCCTTCAGCTGTGTCGGTAACCCAGTAATGT